ATAGAACGATTGTAAACGTTCCAGAAAATTGATCAAATTGAAAATTGTTCGTTTAACTGGACGTAAAAATTTTCTAATTAGTCTGGAAACGGGGGACCTAATTCTTGCATTCTGTGAAAACGGGTAAGATTGGCTATAATGTAATTATCTTAATCTTCACTATCGTTACTTTTTGCCCACAAATAAAAACCCAGCGAAGCGGGTCCTTGTAGCTAGTTTAAAAAATAAAAATTAATCTCGAAATTTTAGGTCATATTAAATATAACTTTTTGTCGTTTATTCGGAAGTGTGGCTCTGTAATTTTTTTAAAAAAAGACATGACAGTTCCTTTTTCTGAAATTGTTCTTAATCTATATTCAGAAATCGAGTTAAATATTAGTTTCGTACACGTTTTCTATATATTTGTCATGTTTTCCGTCTGAATCATAGCCGCAGCTATTTTAGTGATCAGATGTGACTCTTATACAGAAAATTCTGCTCTGCTCCCCAACCGTATTACTTTTGCCAGTGGCATAGGCGTTTTAGAGCATTTTACCACCGTTTGTGCTGTCCCTAAATTATGTAATGCAGATATGGGCGTGTAGTTTGCTGATAATCGTTACGATGGTGGATAGTGAAAGGATAATGAAGTTTTAAAAAGTTGAGTAATGCTAGGCAGCTACCATCTAGAGTCATTAAATGGACTAGTATTGTTTGCTAAATTTGTAGGGATTAAGCTATTGATAATTTTCTCACCCAATAGCTTTAAATTGTCAGATTTGTTATAACTTTTGTTGTCTAATTCTCCAAAACCTAACACGAAAGTAAAAAGTATGATACACTCACAGATGCTATTTTCAAACCTTGGATAACAGAGAGATTGAGTTTTGTTCCTGAAGTGTTGCATAGCGAACCGTAATGGTTGTCACTACTTTGAACGTTATACACGTAATTAATAAATAATGTAACTTTTGGTACTATGTGTCGTATATTATTCCTTAGTAAGCAACAAGTAAGGTCAAGGAAGTATGTAATGTAATTTTATAGGAGGGTATGAGCGAAGGCATTACGGAGCGTTACAGGAGTGATGGTAGTTAAGAATACAAAAATTAAAGAAAAAAGGGATGATTTAATGATTTAAGAAACCATCGGTAATTGTATAGCTGTGCACAGCATAACCTAGGAGCACTCAATAAAACAAATTTCATTAATAGTACTATTTTACTTACACTAATTTATTTCTACTTCTCGTTTCAATATTAGAGTCACAGACTGTTTTGCCGTTTACAGGATTATGCGTATTGCACGCTATAAATGTAAATATAATTTTCTATTAGAGTTTTATGTAAATTCAAATAAACCAATTATTAATTATTACAGTTAAAACTAAAATTTTAATATATTTTATATTTTTTTAAACAAATACAGTTCGCATTTTAATTATAAATCATAAAAGTTTTATGATTAAATAATCCATATTTTTTTTACTTTTTGTAATCTTTATAAAATATAATAACATAATTTTTTTTTAATATTTACGAATTGGTATGCATCTCGTCGGAATTATTTCAGTTTGGACCACCCATTCACTTCCGTTGTAAACGCAAAAGAAATCTTTAATCGTAGATTGGTCATCAAAAGTATAACCTTTGAAACATGATACGGTACAGGTTCTATTAAAAAATAAAAATAATATCATAACACATTTATTATAAAAATATCAATATTTTTAAAAAATTTAATTTAAATTTATCCACGTTCAGACTACAGACTGGCGATCTGAAGAACTCAAGCTCGAGTTTTAGTTGGATTCCTGAAATCTTTCATAAATGGTTTGGTCCGGTATGTTCAATCCATTTCCTCATTACACGATTGCCTCGTCGTAAAGCTTAACAGCATGACAGTACTAGATATATGCAACCGAAGAGTTTTCCTAGGATCTCAGATAAATATCCATAAATGTATGTTTTCCGGTATTTAGTCTTAGTCAAAGATTTGTAATTTCGAAGTCTGTCCGATTCTAAACCTTGTACAATAACATCACCAGTTATTGTCTTCGCATTATAAATTTAAATAGCCTAGTGATATAAAGCCATCACTGCTTGCCCGAATTCTCGAAGAGTATGAAAAAGAATTTTTAAAAGAAACGTTTCCTATTATTTATCAAATAATATTAATATTACAGTATATGTAATGCTCTAATTTGCTTTTCATGATAGTTTTATTGGACGTTCTCTTAAGAGGAGTTAAAAGATCAATCGAGAACGAACTGACACGACATAATCACGTGATTGGTCAGAGGTTTTATCCCGAACAAAGTCTGGATTGGAGACACTTTTACGGCTCTGAAAAAAGACAAGACATGTGAAATGGAGCTGAATCGAAGACTAACAGAAAAGGCCATCAAATAGAAAATCGGGAACACGAACTCAAGCCTTTAAGAAAGAAATTTTGAAAAAACTTGGTACATTATATTTATAAGAAATAATTGAAGCATTTTATGAAAAATTATATATATTATTTTTTTTTAAATGCATTTTTCTCAATCTCATTCATGGCATGAATGCAAGCTTACTTCTTTTAAACAGTGAAACGAAGATTTCTTGTCACAACACTACAGTATTACATTAAAGTCGCTTAATTAAAATAATAGCTAATAAAAGGATTGTTTTTACTAATCGGATCTTGAATTAAAAGTTTGGTTCGGTTACAGAATGAAACATTTTTAAATTTTGTAGAATTGTTACATTTCAAATCATACTGAGTGAGACACAACATTGCTTTTCGGATATATTCTCTAGGATGGAATTCGATTAAACCGAAATGTAGAGAATTTAGATTGTATATTTAAATAGGCAGGTAAATAGTTATATCATTTGAAACAACGCATTCGCCGGCGAGTTTCAGAACAAACAATTTATTACCTCCGTATAAATCACGTGATGTTAAATTATTTACAGGTCTAACACCTCTAAGAGTCAATTTCTCATAGAAAGTCTTCTCAGAAAGTCCCTGCTATAACAAACCTGTCAAATCTAAAAATTATAAATTTACTTAATTTTCAAGATTTTTTAAATTTCAGAGTTATTAGGTTTTAACATAAAAAGTGATAATGCAGTAAATAATGAAGCAAACAATAACATATTAAAACCTTGCTAACAAATGTTTTTAAACCTTGTTTTTAAGTCAGTTAATCTGTATTTGACATTTGGCTCGTTCTCATAAGCTAAGTATTATGCACATTACCTTTATTTTTTTTACTTATACATTTATGGTATTAGAACACAGGCCAGCAGGAAATGCTAAAACTTTCAATCAATATACGTTAATTGACTCATTATTTATAAGGAGCAAAGTGAGATACAGGCGAAACCACGAACTTATATATTCATCCTTGTTATCTTTAACTTCGAATTATTTATAAAATATCAGACATGTCAGAAAATGTATTTATAGCTTACACCCATAACATTGTATGTGAATTATAAAACATTCCATTAAAGATAAAAAGATATGTAAGGATTTAAATAATAAACAAATATTCAGATTTACTTGCCTTCGGATCTTTTTTTACCAGTTTCATAAACATTACTTATTTCCAAAAACTGCTTTACTTTCCTTGTGCGTAAATTAATACATAAATATGAAAATAATACTATGTTAATAATTCAGATCTGAATTATTTTGAATATTAAATTTATTAATTTTTTATATCGACGTAATTTACATAAATTATCAATAATAACCCAGCTAAGCTGCTAGAGATCTTCCTTCTTTCAAATTGAGAGAAAGCTCCTTCCAAATTTTTTACAATTCGGAAGAGGAAAAATTTCCAAAATTAAATGTAATTAATCAGTTTACAAAATGGGGTAAAAAAGAACAATTTACTCACACAAAATCAGCAAATCCTGGATCAGGTCTGCAGTGTCTTTGAGAATTTAATGTTCTAATTAGGTAACTACAATCTATTAAATTAAAATAAATTACATTAGTTTATTCGTTACAATAAGTGATTATATATTCAATACAATTAAATATTAACAGTTCACAAATTATCCAATAGTCAGTCAAATAATGTTTTGTCACATGTGTTTCTTGTACAGTTGTGAAAAAGCATTGTAAACCGAATTTAGGATAATGTAATTTTCTTTTATAAAATTAGTAGAAACATGATTTTAAAAAATATATGACAATTGGAAATATTCATGAAAAATACTCGTATCTTACTCAAATAAATTATTTGAATAAGAGCAATTTATTTTGAAATTACTTAACTAACTCTTCGGTCAATTGGGTAATTCTTTTATAGAAAATTTATATATTCTCTTCATCTCAAATTAGTAGTGCCTTGCCCATATATATTATACTTTCCTGCTAGCAAGGTGCATCTATCTAAAGCAGAGGTCTCAACCTTTATTATCCATAGACTCCTTTTCCTTTTAATTTTTTTTTTTTGTGGAGCCTATACATTGCACAGAAAAAAACCTTATATTTTTTTCGTTACATTGTTTCAAATTGGAGAAATATTTTAATACTGAAACTCTGAATTTCAGAAAAAGTAACTACTATATTTATGAACTAGAACTTTTAATACCTCTTACCTTGTCAAGATGGAGTTTTGCACAAAACTGAAGATTAGGGTCAAAATAAACTAAACCTTTGTACTGGAGGGAGGCTATAAAATTTATAACCTCCCTCCCTAATCTTCAAGATCTGGAATAAACTGACGCAAAATGTTCAGAAATGTCACTGTCAAATGACATGACGCTAATGATGAAAGATTCTCCTAACAAACCCCAGTTTTATAATCTCTCTTTGACCTATATCAATAAGATATATATGTCGTTTACGTATTCAATATTTTAAATAATTTATATTTTAACCCTTATGCAAGAAATGAATAATAAATAAATCGACAATATACTGTATATACTGTAGAAATTTAATTTTCAGTAAAACAATTATTTTTGAAGTAGAATTACCCTATAGACCACTAAAATATCACCGTGAACCCCCAATTCGGTATTTTTTTTTCTGTGGACCCCAGTAATGTTACATGGACTCCTGGGGTCAATGTGGATCCCAATTGAGAACCCCTGATCTAAAGGCTAGTACTAACATGCGGAAACGGACGACGGTAACCGTCGGCTTCCACGGCAAAAGTGACGTCATTTTGCCGTGGAAGCCGACGGAATACGAAGTTGAAAATTGTCAATTTTTGCCGTGGCGGAAAGAGAAACAGTAAAATTAGACAAATAGGAAGGCCGTTTAGCAATGTCGTCATAAACATCACGTGAGACGATAGCGTTTTTAACTACGACGGTTGGCATAGCTAAAAAGCTTTATTTACACTCTAACATTAACATATTTTATACGCTATATTACGATCTGATTTAAATATTAATGTCAAATAGATAAACTTACTGCGTAAAGTATTCGGAATGGCGTAATCTTAATTCGGATACGAAAGTATTCGATATTTCTAACTTTCTAAGTCATGGCCACACTGTATATATCTAGTCACCGTACCGTGCAATGAGCGGGTGTAAAAATCTTGGGAGGAGATCATTTTTTGACCGATCGCCATACTTTCCTCTGTTATATATAACAGAGCCGGGAAAGTAAAGCATCAAATACAAAGCTGAAACTTGTGAAAATTGCTTAAATTCAATTAAATATAAACCTTTAAGATATTTAATACAGATATACTTTATTATGCATACATAAAATATGTATGTGTAATAAAGTATATTTGTTTACTATTGAACACAAGACTGTGTTATTATTAAAACACTTGGCGTTTATCCACTTTATTCAGTTGAATAAAGTGGATAAACGCCAAGTGTTTTAATAATAACACAGTCTTGTGTTCAATAGTAAATAAATACGAAAACACGGTTTCAAAAAACGAATCAAAGTATATTTGTATTAAATGTTTAAACTTAGTTGGAAGATTGCATCCATAAGAATTGCCGTATGAAAGGTTGACAAGAGTCAAATTGTTTTAAAGAAAATACGCTGTTTTTTCAGCAATGAAAAAACATTTAATTTTATCGTTCAACTAGAAAAAATATTTCGAAATTATTATGAAAATAATCAATGAAATTGTAACAAATTAAAATTTAAATTTAAAGACATTTGTTAAAACTAAAATGAAAGAAGTTAAAATATTTCACATTTCTAATTGTCACAATCTACTTGAAATATTTATGGAAAATATTAAACTTTTAGATTAAAAATAAATTCTAAAATGCTTAAAAACCAAATAATAGACTATCTTTAATAGTAAATCTATTACTTCCTATGCAGAGTTTAGGTAAACTTTGTTATAGATTTGCTACTTATCTTTTTATAACAATATCGATGTTTAATATGACTTTATCAGACACTTTACTACATTTTTAACAATTTTTCTAATGTAAAATATTTCTTGAATTATATATGTATGTTACTATAATAATGCTTATTAAAATGAAATATTTAATTTTTTTAGAAATATTAAAAATTTTAATTTTTTTTATTTGTAAACAATCTAGTCTTAAATTTTGTTTTTATTTAAAAATTAAATTCTTGTTCAAAATAAGAATTCGAATTTTGACTTTAAAAGTCAAAAAACTTTCCATTAGAATGTTATTCACAGAAATTCAGAATGGAAGGAAATCCTTTCAGGGGAAAATTTTTGAATTGAAATAACTTCCAGTATACTCCCGTATATAATTAGTATGGCCTCCTGCCCCTAACGTGTCCATATCTGGTCTCGACATTCATCTATCTGTTCTTGAGATTTAGAAAGGACAGTGGGAATTATAGGTCTGTATATTTTTCAAATTGCAGCCCAACAAATAAATAAAACTAAATGGTTCTGATATAGTGTCGTCATTAAAAAATTTTTAAATGATAATTAACAAATTTGTAAGGTTCTTTGTTACATTACTAATGCATGTAATAAAATTTTCCTTCTGATTACAAATTTTAATGTTTTGAAAACTTTCCTTTGTCATTTCAATTGATGAATTTGCAATTATTTAATAAGTAGCTTAGTTAATTTTAATATGTAATGAAGAGGATGATAAATTGTTTTTAATTTTTTAGATTTAACATAAAACTGAAAGACCTTAGCTTTTCTCTTTATTTTAAATTTATAATAATTTTTAGTGAACAANAAATTATTAAAATTGACAAAAATAATCAAAGCCATGACTTTAGCATAGGTGTAGTTAAGAAAAACTTGAAAATGTTTTATATCTTTTAATTTTGTTTTACTAATAAACTGTTTATCTGTTTTACGTATATAAACTGTATACGTTAATATGAGTTTGTATACGTTGTCGTACTTCTGTCATTACAAGTACTAGGCAGTTGATCATTGCTTTTAACATATTTAGGAAAAGTACTGTACCTTAAAAACAAAAAATTCAAAATTCAAATGTAAACATAACATGTGCATTCATTATTGTAAAACACATGTTGTACTCCTTACCTGAGATCTACTTTTTTCTTCTTGAAGAAAAAAGTTTATTTCTCAGGTAAGCTTTTCTCTCTGGTGGACATCATCGCCTTCGGGACGCTTTAATGATTAGATAGGATGAACAACTGGGGAATTTAGATGAAAAAACATCCAGAGTCAGTGCTAATCTATCATGTGCAATCTGCACTAATTGGCCATCGATTGTGTCACTGAATGATTTTATTAAGAATTGATTCTCAAAATTCTTGTCACATATAGGAGCTTTTGTGGTTAGTTCCTTATCTTCGTGTGGAATGAATATTCTACAGTGTTCCAAATGATTTTTCTGGCACTCTTAGAAAGTGTCTTTTATTCCTTTTCACGACAATATCTGGAACTGCACATTGAAACAAAGCACGTTGGCGTGTTTGCTAATAACTAAATGAGTAAAATCTAAATGACTAAATAACTAAATATTTTAACGATTAATTCCTTACTATTAAATTAGTGTTTCCATTAAAATAAATGTACAGTACGTCCAAACTACACCAATTCTGTTTGCAATTCTTGAAACTGATATATTATGTGAGAAAGTAATGCATTGAACGTAATATTTTTAAAAACTTCAAATAACAATCTGATATAAACGTGGAACGAGTATTTGTAATTTGATTTATTCGAATCGTTATCATTTTTTTAATATATGAATAAATTAGTCATAGCAATATAGCACTGCTCAGATAATATTTCACATAATGACAGTTTACCTGTATGCATTAATTTTTATAACAAAAGGCAGATTTCATTAGCTTTTTTTCCTCTACATCTTGCAGACACAAACTAGAATCTGTCCATACTACAATATGATGACTCAACATACTTCTATTCTCAATAGTTGTCTGCAACTATTCCATATACAGTAGTTATAGTCTGGCCCTATTACCAGCCATTTGGTCCTGGCCTCATATTTATGGGAGTCATTGAAATCTTTGTTTTAAACTATTTATTCAGTTGCCTTTATTGTATAGTAAAATAGCATATAGTGGACAAATCAAAAAAGTAAGTAGCCCGGGCTGTCTTAACATCTGACAGACCCTGTCTATTTCACCAACGAAATTAAGATATTTATATGAAACAAATGTTACATTTTTCTTACTGTATTAAAATTTCAACTTTACTTAAAGTATGTTAAAATTATCGAACATAAATGGAAAAATACCTCTTTGGTAGATTAAATCTTCAATACGAATATTGCCTAATGGATTGTCAAATCCTGTAGAACCTGAAGAATAAAAACTACGAAACATATTGATATGAGAATGGTCTAATTTAAAAAAATAGTCTGTATATAAAATTATCATTACCAATTTTTTGTATATTACCAGAAACTCTACTAAAAATCAGATATAATTTAATTTAGAACACAATATATGGTATAAATATCTCGAGAATTTAATGAAAAAGACTTACTGTAAAGTAAAACTCGGTACTGAAACAACAAACAATAAAATAGCAGTATTCATAATGACTAATAATCTATTTAACGATAGCAGAATGAGTGACTATGGAAATGGGACAAAATTTATAAATAAAATCCAAACGATTTTATCTACGTCATAAACTAACTGCGATTGATCAGAACCCTTTCATTCATTGGCCAAAATTTTAATTAAATGAAAAAGTTGTATTCAATGAGCAACGTTTTGTAGTTATTAAATGAAATAATAATAAGGTAGACTTGCTAATCCGGTCCTTAATAATCTGATCTCAATTATCTCAAATCTCGGAATACATTCCAGTGCGATGGCATATGTGAAAAAATTATTTCTAACTTAATTTTAAATTAAATTAATTTAATATTCAAAAACTAAACTGAGTGTAAATTGGATTATTAAAACTTCTTAATGAGGAACCGCAATATTAATGTGTAATATCCTGTATAAGCAGAACTCTACATGCCTGTGAGGTATTTCTAGTCACTCAAGTTACAACTGATCAAATTCTTTACTTTTTATTTTCAGAAAAACATGATATATAGGCCTATATTTCAGATCGAAGTGTAATTAACGATTTCTCTTCAGTGTTAAGTGTGTTTTTTTCTCTCCAATTATACTAATATAGGTGATATTGGACGATAAAATTATAGAATATTACAATTTTGCAGGTCTGAATTTCAATTCTTCTGTAATAACAGAATGATTAGTAGTATTATACAATTCACAACAATTAAAACATTAGTATATCTTAATACGTGAAGAATGTAATGAAAACAGACGGGTACAAAATTACAATACTTAATGAATTATTATAAAATTACATGCATGATGAACTATTATCATAGATTATTATGTTAATACCCGTATTTTAATGATCCATAATGATGGATTATTGAAATATTAACATAAAAACTATACATATTTTGGGTCGTACAATTTTTATAATAAAAATGATATTTTAAAATAATTGTTTAAAAAATGCATGTTTACTGAAACGATATCATAATTCTCGAAAAACATCTCAATTTTCAGAAAAACAAACAAACATATTTTCAACTGAACGACAAAAACAAGATAATTCCTTTTCATAGGATGGTTCCAGTCGCGTTAAATTCGGACTCACAAGAATTCCGTTTGTCATCCTTTTGGAAGATTCTTAGCGAACATATCGATTAATTTTTTATAGTANAACGACAAAAACAAGATAATTCCTTTTCATAGGATGGTTCCAGTCGCGTTAAATTCGGACTCACAATGAATTCCGTTTGTCATCCTTTTGGAAGATTCTTAGCGAACATATCGATTAATTTTTTATAGTAGTTTGAAAAAAAATTTATATACATTTTAAAAAAATATTATTTAGATAAATCCATTTTAATTTTGTTAATCATGACATATAATTAGTGTTTACCTGGCAAATCAATAAACAAAAATTACATTTAACATTTGCATCCTTGGAAATTTTCGTTTAAAGGTTTGGAGTCCATGACATTGTCACAATTTATAATTTTATAATTGGTAAAAGAAATACCGTAAAATTAAGCATTTCATAAAGCCAAAAACCTGCTTACTTGTTTTTAAGGCATTGACTTCAAGCTAACTGAATGACGATGCATAGACATTTAAACAGAGTCTTCTAAGCCAGTGTTTTTCAACCTTTTTGAATACGCGACCCCTTTACAAGTTAAAAAGTTCTGGCGACCCCCCTAGGGCCATATTAAAACGATATCAGTGATTTTAAAAATTATGTATTTAATTTTCTTTCTGATGCAGAAATTATTGTTGACTAAAATGAGAATTTAAGAAGGATCGACAATAACTTAAGACACGTATGGTATGATACTTCCCTCTCATAAGAACATTGGGTTCGGAGTGCTGTTGACCTTTTTTTTTCTTTTAGGATCACAGTTTTTAACTTCCACTTTTCTACTTATTACTTTTTTTACAAGTCAGCTCAGCACTTTTTTCGCTATCATTTTCTGGCCCCTCCCTGGCGAAACTCATCATTCAGACCTAAATGTCAATCAAAAAACCAACTGTACTGTATAATAAACAGATACAGCTTTCTCGCTGAAATTGTACTTTTTTTAATATAGTGTAGGACCTACAAACACTTGTCTTTTTCTTTTACCCGCGACCCCCTTGGGGGTCGCGACCCACAGGTTGAAAAACACTGTTCTAAGCAATTGTTAAATTCCTCAAGGGATTCAACAATTGCTTAAAAGACTCTGAGACAATTGACTTATTTTTTTCTAGTATTTTGAATGAAAAATTTTTTATTAATTTTTTAAAAATTTATCAGATTATTATATAAATCCATTTTAATTTTATTAATCATAACACATGATTAAAATATTAAAAACTGCTTAGCTGTCGAAACAAAACTTGAAAAAAGTAAATAATAATAATGTATGATATGGCGTGTTGGAAAAGAACTGATTTCGCATTTTAATATCAGTAAATTTAAAACAACAAAACATTATTGACTTTACTCACTTTGATAACAGCAGTTAAGTTATAAAAAGCTAGAATTATGGTAGTGCTTAAAATTTTAATTTTCTTTTTCTCCTTTGTAAACGTATGTTACCTATCTCCTGTTCCTACAGAGTTAGTAAATTTAAAATATACTAAATTAATTAAGTATAAAAAATGAAATTAAAACAAAATTTTATTTCAATACAAAATTAAATAATTCAGAAGAATATTATAAGTTTATTTTCCATATAATTTAATTAATATAAAGAAATTGTTTTTTGCCCTTGGTTTAATTAAATTAATTAAAAACCTACTAATGTGAGGTAGGAATAAGGACTTATCACACCAATGATATAAGCACAAACACCCAGGTATCAATGGAATACATTTAATAAAATGAGAAGGGGTGTACATTAAAAACGATTAAATTAACAATTGACATGACAACTAACAATCACAATTGACAATTTCATGTCAATTGTTAATTTAATCGTTTTTAATGTACACCCCTTCTCATTTTATTAAATGTATTCCATTGATACCTGGGTGTTTGTGCTTATATCATTGGTGTGATAAGTCCTTATTCCTACCTCACATTAGTAGGTTTTTAATTAATTTAATTAAACCAAGGGCAAAAAACAATTTCTTTATATTAATTAAATTATATGGAAAATAAACTTATAATATTCTTCTGAATTATTTAATTTTGTATTGAAATAAAATTTTGTTTTAATTTCATTTTTTATACTTAATTAATTTAGTATATTTTAAATTTACTAACTCTGTAGGAACAGGAGATAGGTAACATACGTTTACAAAGGAGAAAAAGAAAATTAAAATTTTAAGCACTACCATAATTCTAGCTTTTTATAACTTAACTGCTGTTATCAAAGTGAGTAAAGTCAATAATGTTTTGTTGTTTTAAATTTACTGATATTAAAATGCGAAATCAGTTCTTTTCCAACACGCCATATCATACATTATTATTATTTACTTTTTTCAAGTTTTGTTTCGACAGCTAAGCAGTTTTTAATATTTTAATCATGTGTTATGATTAATAAAATTAAAATGGATTTATATAATAATCTGATAAATTTTTAAAAAATTTATAAAAAATTTTTCATTCAAAATACTAGAAAAAAATAAGTCAATTGTCTCAGAGTCTTTTAAGCAATTGTTGAATCCCTTGAGGAATTTAACAATTGCTTAGAACAGTGTTTTTCAACCTGTGGGTCGCGACCCCCAAGGGGGTCGCGGGTAAAAGAAAAAGACAAGTGTTTGTAGGTCCTACACTATATTAAAAAAAGTACAATTTCAGCGAGAAAGCTGTATCTGTTTATTATACAGTACAGTTGGTTTTTTGATTGACATTTAGGTCTGAATGATGAGTTTCGCCAGGGAGGGGCCAGAAAATGATAGCGAAAAAAGTGCTGAGCTGACTTGTAAAAAAAGTAATAAGTAGAAAAGTGGAAGTTAAAAACTNCCCCTTTCGTCCGTTCTCACGAAAGAGTTACTGGACGATGATTGGACGAAATTTTGAAATAAAAGGGGAGATTAGTCAGAATTCGGGGAGTTCTTAGACAGATCCGAAGCATCTAAACTATACGCAGTTTTCCTCCTGATGGCCAACGCCCAAAACGGAGTCCGATAGACTAAGTCCCGAGTCTACAATTAGAAGGAGTGATATATTATATTTTGTGCACGAATTGATCTCCCATACGAAAGTAATATGAACTTTATCTGCAAGGTGTCCTCTACCTACAGAAACGAAGACGACGACAACTAACAGGTCGTATGTTTAGAATCATTTTGTGAGCTCTCTCTCGAACGCGCATTAGCATAGATTTAGTCGTAGCATCTAGCTTGTCGTTAAATGGTTGTAATCNTTTATATTTTTAGATCAACTAAAATGCAAATGTTTAAATATCTCGAAAAAAGAAAAAAATGGACTTACACCACTTTCAAAATAAACGGTCCATATGACGAATTTCATATGGTATAAAAACATAATGAAAAAGACCTTACAAAGTTTGCACAGAATGTACAGTAATTTACGTTATATTTACCGGACGTTATAATTGTAAACACCAGTGGCGTGCCATGACATTTAACGATAGGGAAGCTGTTTCTGTAAGAAGCAGACTTCTAGGGGTAATCAGTTAATTGCGCGCCAGTGATGGTCTAGGATCCATTTGTATTCGTTTGTTCGATAAACCAATAAAAAACACTAGACATCTCTAAATGTATTTTTAATATCACAATTACATTCTGAATCGCTAGCCACGATATAAGGGCTAAAATTATAAATAAAAACTTACTTGGTGAAATAAAATGTGTGGTGGATATACATACTTGATACAAAATATTTTTCAATTGTATGAATATACTTTTAAAGAAAATTATAATTAAATATAGCTTTGTAAAGAAACATACATAAAAATAACATAAAATCTTCTTTACTGTTTAAATCTTAAAACAATTAGTCAAATAGCTCCCTACGAGTGGCTAATTGATGGAATCAGAGAGGTCT